TTCAAAACTGCCACTTCAACGTAGTCCAGTATTTGGTGGAGGGCAAAGCTGACGTCAATGCACAGAATGATCGCCTGGTAAAATTTTGGTCAAATTATTGTTGAATTTTATTCTTGTTTTTTTTCGCAAACTAATTTGCGAAAACAAGCGGTAAAAATATCTTTGTTTAGTCGACTCCATTACACTACGCATGTCAGAGTGGCCGGTCAGATATCGTGAAATGTTTGGTGAAGGCTAAGGCAGATGTTAATGCAATGAATAGAAAGAAGGTAAAATTTTGCCACACCTACTGCTAAGGTTTTCTTGTTTTGAAGAAATTATCTGCTAAAAAGTAATAAAATTAGAAAGAAAACTAAGTATTCTGTTTAGTGGATCCCAATGCACATAGCGTCTCAGTATGGCTACTTAGACGTAGCAAAGTATTTAGTGGAAAATTCAACAGACGTCAATGCAGAGGACTGTAATGGGGTAAAGTTTTCAGCGAAATGATTACTACACCTCTTTTGTTTTATAAATTTTTCTGTCAACATAGAGTATAATAAATAGAACTCACCTTTCTGTTTAGTGGATTCCACTGCACTTCGCATCTGGAAATGGCCACTTAGAACTAGTGAAATATTTGGTAGAAAACGGAGCAAAGATCAATGCTAAAACGATTCACGAGGTAGAGTGTTGGTGTAATTGAGTTTTCCTCTGATTTTTTAAGTGGTAAATGTTTACTGAATCAGACTTCCTATACCGGTTTATAAAATACTAAAAATTTGATTTACAAAGATGTGTGGGTTCTTATTCAAAGAAAACAAGCTTTTTTTATGAAATGCTGTAAATGTAGCGGAATAAGGAAGGATTTTATGATGTTTTTCAAAAAAAGTTAGTAAATCTGAATACTGTTCATTTATTTGTTTCAGGTAGACTGTATTTCAAAAAAAAAAAAATATTTCTCAAAAGTATTTTTATGAACTCTCTAATGAATACAACTAAAACTGCTTAATTTTATTGAAAAATTTCGAAATAAATTGAAGACATTGAGGAGGAAATATCGCTGAAACAGATGAAGCAAAGTGAAAACAAAATAACGTGTCTATTTTTTTTAGTTAACTCCTTTACATGTTGCGTCTTTCAATGGTTTTTTTGACGTGGTAAAATATTTAGTCGAAAAAGCGGCAGATGTTAATGCGAAAGATTTTCGTCAGGTAAAGTTTTGGTACCATAAATACTGTATCCTTTCTCGTTCATCTTAGCTTGAACTTGAAAAAAATTTTTGAGATTAGTAGTTTTGAAAAAAACATTCAAGAAATAAGTCAAATACCATTAAAGTTTTCTGAATGCTAGAAGAAGAAAAAACAATGCAGGGCAATAGCGAGAAACTTTTATACATCAGAGGGCTTTCAAAAAGTGTTTCTTGCATATAAAGAGCTCTTGTAATCAAAGAAAAAAATTTTACTAACTTAAATCTTCTAAATATCATTTCTAAGCAAAAATTAGATTTAAAGGAATTATAGAAGTTAAGTATTAAAGATAAACCCTGAAAAGCGTAATGCAGCGTAACAATTTTCAAATTCGCCTATATCAAGAAAAAAATTAAACAAAATACAGATTTTTTTGACTACCGCTTTTAATATAATATTTGAATGAGATATGTAAAAAGACACTATGCTCAGGAGACATGGAACCATGTACTTCACTTTTACCTTAACTGCCAGCTGTTTCATCGGAAAAAATTTTTTTCAAATCAGCAACACCTCCAAAGTGTAAATACCTGCGGGTTGGGCTTACGATTGTTCTTGAAGCTAGGCTTAGGTCTCGTTTGGACTTATGCTTATGCGTTCCCTTAGGTATTAAAGTTTTGACGGCTTCAAGATTTGAATGTGCTAGAGGAAGGACTAAAAAACCACTTTATTGGGTTGAAAACTTAGGCAGTAGACCGTTGTTATGATATTTTTAAACTGCTCTTTCTCTCGCGCTTCTACGAGTAGGATTAGCTGCTGGACAACTGTGAGGTTTTTTGAGGTGCCCTGTTATTTGTTTTTCATTTTACTTATTTATACCGTCATCAGCAAGAAAGATAGTTTACCATGTTTGCCTTAAAAAGAAACCACGTATGAACAAAAGAAAAAAGGCAACCTGCAAGAAGAAACAAATAAAAATTAAAACAAGAGAACTGGAAAAATGTGAAATTTTTAGTGCAGTGGCCTTCACCATTGATTTTTTTTTAGAGAACTGCGTATGACCTTGCAGCACGCAAGTCCCATGCGGATATCGTTGCGTTTCTGGCTTCTAACCAAGCTTCAACTATTTCAGGTTGCGTGTCTAGACTTTTCCGATGTTCAAGTCTGACAGGACTTGAAGTTATTATTCTG